GGGGTCGAACTTCTGACAAGTTTTCGGTTGTAATTGTATCGATGGTAGTTATTAATATAGGAAACATTCCTAATTTGGTAATTCTCTGACAAAATTCCTTATATAATTTTTTTACCTTGATCTTAACAAACCACTTTAAATAATCAGACTAATGTTAATTTTTGACAAGTTAAAGATACATAATTTCCTTTTCAAAGACAAATCATTTCACCTTTTGTTAAGTCTCTATTTTTTGGCATTTTTATAAATAAATTACGATTATTTTTATTGTTTAAAATGATCAATAAACATTACACAAAAGTTTTATAATAAAAGAATGGAAGGGTCAGATAGGTTCCGATGATTTTTAATTTTATTTGGTAAATACATTTCATTTCTGGCTTTAAGGTTACTTATTAAATTCATTAATAAAAAAAAAGGTTTTATATGTAGCAACGATCGCTAGAAATTTTTAGAGAAAAATTTCTGCTAATCTATATTAAACTATGCAAAAATTCACGTCAAAAACGTGAGGTTTTGTCACACGAATGATATAATTTGATTACACAAAAATGACAGCAGGAAAATTTTAAATGATAACCTTATAATTATTTGTGGTTTAGATCAAAATTTAATATAAATATATGGGAAGCCTTTGATAAAAAAAAAAAAAAAGGCGGCTCTTTTTATTTTTTTTTTTTTCTTTAATTTAATTATTTAAAATGGCACCTCCTCTAAGTATTCACAGGGTTGTAGTTGTTTCTCTTTTTCTTCCGTATACAGTTTCCTTCGATATTGGTAAAGAGAGAGAAGTTACATACTCTCCAGTTGATATTAATTTGACGGTTCCAAAACCAAACCTCATTGAAAGACTGGCGGCTAAGCGTGCTGACGGACCCGTTACCCCCAGTCAACAAATTGAAGATCCAATTAATAAGCTCTTCCCTTCGAAAGGACCTACAACTCCACCACCGGCAACTGGGCGAATTCAACCTCGTAGTCGCGCACAAAAGCCGGAGTTAGATAATAAAAGATTTTCGCCTCTTCCTCTTTCCTCACGTCGTGTTTCAATTGATAGTACGAAAGTTTTCGATGAAGCTCCCTGGACTGTTGAGCCTTGTACACAGGGCAATATCGGTTTGCAAAATGCTATAAACTCTGTTGCCCATAGCTTTACTAAACGCGTCTGGATAGGAACTCTTGGCATGCCTACAGACGTGCTCACAGAAAAGACGCGAGAGGATATTCGTGCCAAAATGACGACAGAATATGATTCAATTCCTGTAATTGTCGCAGATCATGATATTGAAGGACATTATAATCAGTTTTGTAAGCAAGTATGTAAAAGTAAAAATTATAAATTTGAATTTTAAGTTTTAATTTTTAAAATATAAATAAATTATATAAAACGCGTATAGGTTCTGTGGCCTACTTTTCATTATGTTCTTCCAGAAAATCCAAAGAATAAAATTCAGGATGATAAAGATACTTCATGGAAACATTATGTTGCAATCAATCAATCCTTTGCTGATACCATCACGGAGAATTATCAGCCCGGCGATATAAGTAAGCGTTTTGGTGTCATTGTTCAACATGATGATACATTTAATTTGCATCAACGATTTTAATCTATATAATGATCTAGTTTGGGTCAATGATTACCATTTATTGTTGGTCCCTGGAATGATCCGTAAAAAGCTCCCAAACGCGATGATTGGATTTTTCCTTCATATTCCTTTCCCAAGTTCGGAAATCTTTAGATGTTTACCTGGTACGTGTATAAATTGTTTAATAGGAATGTATTGAACGGAGTATACTAAATTTGTACGTATAAAGTACGCAAAGAGTTACTTGAAGGTGTTCTTGGAGCAGATCTAATCGGGTTCCAGGTACTTTTTTTTTTCTAATTATTCATTTGATATTGGTTTTATTTGTATCAAACATAACTTATAAACCAATATTATCATCATTTTACAGACCTATTCTTTTGCTCGTTATTTCCTTCAGACTTGTTCTCGAATATTGTCATTAGAGACTACTCCTAAAGGAATTCAACTTGAAAATAACTTTGTTTCTGTTGGTATTTTCCCAATTGGTATGTTTTACGTTAGCGTATATTGATCATGATATAATGCTTTAAATTAAAGCGAATTCATTAATCCCTTGTTAGGAATCGATATTCAGGCATTAAATGAAAAAAGGTTAAAATGAAGATCTGCCTTTTTTTTTTACAAATTGGGAGTATGAGTACTTACTTTTGTATGAATCTAGGAAAGATCCGGAGGTACATGAATGGATTGGGGTACTCGGTGAAAAATATCATGGTAAAAAATTAGTAGTTGGTCGTGACAAGTTGGATTATGTTAAGGGAGTCCGTCAAAAGGTGCTCGCTTTTGAGACCTTTCTAACGATGCACCCCGAATGGCAAGGAAAGGTAGAGTTTTATATTGGTTCTTTAAATTATTTTGGTTTATTCATTATTCATGGTTCTGACTTATGTTATCAAATTCGATGTGATAGGTCGTTTTAATTCAAGTGGTGCTTTCTACCACTGAGCAAAATGAACTACAAAGTCAAGTATCAGATGTAGTGGCTCGAATTAATTCGAAGTTTAGTAACCTTTCGTATCAACCAGTCGTATATCTTCATAAAGATATTACTTTTAGTCAATACTTGGCGCTTCTTTCAGCAGCTGATGTGTGTCTTATCACTTCATTACGCGACGGAATGAATTTGACATCACACGAGTATGTGATTTGTCAAGAGGAAAAGCATCGACCATTGATCCTTAGCGAGGTGAGATTATATTAGAAATTTTTCTATTGTAAATATTATAATGAAGTATAATTTTAAATTATTGATGTTTAGTTTGCTGGAATGGTATTTAATTTTGGCTGAAATGAAACCGCTATTATAATTTTGGCTGAAATCAACAGATATCACGTGACTGAGA